TTACAGTTCCCGCCTGGGTATCTCGCTGGGGCCTCCAATATGTAAGACCTAAAGTCTCACTTCCACTCCACGGAGCGTGAACAGCCGAAAGGCCTCCACGATGCTGGGCCCTAACACCCAGCGAGGCTCCGCGAACACGACAGAGAACCGAGAAACCCAGGAAGGAACACACCAGCCTAGATGGTAAAAGACCTTTATTAGTCTGGCCAGACGGCACTCCCGGAGCCGGGTGGCTCAGAGAGGCAACTGCTCAGGGGCTGAGGTACTTTTTATAAGGTTTTTCTAAACAAAGAGTCAGGGAATTCACAGAACAAGACTGCAAACACATTTATGCAGGAAATGTTCTAGGGTCACCTTTTGTCAAACCATTTGCCCCTGGGCGGGCTGTTAACCAAGGTAGCAATTAGCATATGAAGAAGCACAGTCTGGCCTATTAGCATGGAGTTACTTTAGCCTATTCAAGTCTTACGGAGAGGGAGGTGATGGTTTAATACTGTTCCGCGCCCAGGGCTGGAGCCCTCCTGCGGCACTGCTTCCTCCTTACGGTGAGGGAGCCAGGGCTCCAGAGGGAGTGGATCCTCAGGAAGTTCACGCGGCCGTAGAGTGGAGGAGGTCGGCCACACAGTCGCCAGCCTCCAAAACCTTAGTCGTTTTGCTTTTCCACTGCTACTACAGCAGCGGGCAACCCGCCCACCCGTTAATCTTGTGCCCTCTGGGCACCTTGTGTATTTGGATTTGGTTTCCTTGCTGACATATTTGCATGTGTAGTTCTAAATATTAAGTAGACTAGCTCGAAAACTACAAGGGTGGAAGAGAATAATAAAGTGGAAAATAATAGCACACTCTTTCAGAGCTGTTGCCAACTGCTGAAAATGGAATTAGGCTTTTCATGTCTCAGTCTTAATCCTCCAAAGGAGGCTTGTTATTGTCTCCCTTGTATAAGTGAAGAAACTGAGAGCAGCAAGGTGAAATATCGTGCACAGAATCTCAGTTAAGCCAGGTGTGGTGGCACATGCCTGTAGCCTGTAATCCCACACTCAGGAGGCTGAGCCCGGACCATCACCTTGAGTTCAAGGGATGCCTGAACATAGTGAGGGCCTGTCTCAAAACCAAACCAAACAAAACAAACAATATCTCAGTTAAATGGCAGAATCAGTGGTGCTCAAACCCATGCAGTATTTGAGACACCATGCTTTTAGCCAATACTAATTATCATTTATTGAGCACTCATTATATGCAAATCACCGTTCTTGTACCATCTCTTCTCCCCCGACTCGTATTAAATTGATGGTATTATCCTCATCTTGTGGAAACGGAAGCACTGAGAATTGATCTGCTGCAGATCCTACAGCTAATAATCACTAGAGATGGTATTTGAGCCCTGGTCCAGAGCTTCAGTTTACCTTGTTTCACTGAGCCATTTCTACCAAGCTGATTTATATGCAGTATGTCTTTTACATCTCACATCCTGTGAGCCAAAATTTGTCTTATTCCCTGGATGAGAAAATCGAGGCTCCCAGAGGTGGAATGACTTGGCCAAGGACACACATAGCTAATTAGGATGAGGACTGACCCGAAGTTGTGGTACACATGGACCACCCTGCCATAGTTATCTGTGTGTCGTTTGCCTCTTAAATCTTCCTTGGGACAGTCTGGGTCTCATACTAACTTTTCTCTGACTTAAATTGTGGGGGTTTTGTTTGTTTTTTATACTGGGGATCGAACTCAGGACCTTGAGCTTGCGAGGCAAGCACAGTGCCACTGAGCTAAAGCCCTAGCCCTCCCTTAAGTTGTTTTGAGTTGAGGTTATTTTGGTGTACGTAGACTGAAAAAGGAAGAATGATTCTAATGTACATCTCTTACACCAGGAAGTCCTTGTTGAAGTACTTAGGATATTTTCACATTATACAGACTTCAGGTCCGCAATTGACAGTTTTTTGTTTTTTGGTTTTTTGTTAACTTTACAATGGTGTGAAAGCAATACTCATTCAATAGAAATGGTTCTTTGAATTTTGATCTGATCCCAAGCTACCAATACACAGCATAATTCTGTGTTGTGATGTTGGGCATTTTGTCAGCAAGCTGCAGCTTCTAGTCAGCCGTATGATTGTGTGGAAACGGCCCAACACTCGACAGTGTTCTGTGCTGCTCAGCTGTGCTTGACAAATGCATCTTCAACTTACAGTATTTTCAGCCTGAGACAGGTTTCTCAGGATGTAACTCCTCAGAAAGTCAAGGAGCACCTGTATTCTATTTCATCCATATTAAAATACCATGATTTATAAATCCACAGAAGAGCCTCTTTAGTCTTCACACGTTTCTGTCTCACGCTCTTCTCTTGAGTCGTGGTGGAGAAATATGTAGAGACTCGTCCTGGTGTTTGGAAGGCCCCCAAAGGGGCTGACTTGACAGCACCAGAAAGGAGATCGGCAGCAAATCTGTAGGTCCTTTGCCCGTGCCCAGAACCAGTCATGCTGCTTCTGCCCGGTCTGTGTCATTTGTCCCCCAGGAGACTCCCTCTTTAGAACCAATGGAGGAAGAAGAAGAAGAAGATGATGACCTAGAGCTGTTCGGTGGCTACGACAGTTTCCGGAGTTACAACAGCAGCGTGGGCAGTGAGAGCAGCTCCTATCTGGAAGAATCGAGTGAAGCGGAAAATGAAGATCGGGAAGCAGGGGAGCTGCCCACCTCCCCGCTGCATTTGCTCAGCCCTGGGACTCCCCGCTCCATGGATGGCAGTGGGTCTGAGCCAGGTGCCTTCGCGCTGTCCTGAAAGATGGGGAGGAGTCAGGAGGTTTTGGAGGAAGAAGGGGACGGGCACAGGGCATCCAGATGTAAATCACTTGATCTCCTGTCTGAGGAATCACATGTCTAAAGACCTAGCCGCAGGGACCATTTCCTGTGCTGTGAGCTGGCTTCGATTTGTGATTTCATTCTTTCTTTCATACAACTGATATTTATTCAGCACATATTAGAGGCCCATGAGTAACATGGCACTGCTTTTACACTTGTGTGAGCAGGCTGAGCATTTTTAAGTCTGGATGTGGAGAAGAGAAAAAGCAAAGTGTCAAGAGTACTTTCCCAGAAGAGACAAGAAATGAGCTGGGGGTGGGGGAGCTTGTGGGTTGGAAATCAGGGAGTTGGGGGCGAGAGGCAGGTGGGTGTCTGTGTCAAGGCTTCTAGTGTGAGAAGAGCTGGGGTGGACAGTCTGACACCCCATTCCTTGGTAGCTACTCTGTTTACAAGAGTAGTCTAATATTCTTTACCATCTGAATCTATATCTGTCTTCCCTCCCTTTCTGCCCTTTACCTTTCTCCCTCCTATCTTCTTCCAACCCTTCTCTTGTAATCTCAGAACTTTAGCACTAGAAGAAATCACTGGAGACCAGCAAGCCCAGGGCACTAGAAGGAACCACCTGGGGACCTTGTAACAAACTGCAGATGCCTGTGTCCCATACGGACCAATTCATTAGAATCTCAGGCTCCAGCAGTTTCCTCAGGTGATTCCAGCGTGAAGGCAGGGCTGACCTCAGAACTACTTCGGTCTCCTTACTATTTAGAAGAGAAAATAGAGCCACGGAGGTTAAGTGCCTTGGCACTTTTTCTCCTTGCGTATGTTTTTCTCTCTTGAAATCTTGCCAACACATGCTCGCTTCTGCAGCCATCCTTAGGGGATTGACTTAGCCCCATTGTTGACACAACCAGGGGGAGCCAAGCAGCATATTGTGAGCGAGACAGATTGAGAGGTACATGGCAGGCAGGGGATGGTGGTGCACGCCTGTGTACCCAGCTACTCAAGAGGCTGAGGTAGGAGTATCACAGGTTCAAGGCCGGCCTGGGCTGCATAGTGAGATCCTTTCTTGAAAAGAGGCAAGGTGTGCGCAATACCTTCTCCTCCTAGTGCAGTTACATCAGCCTTCGTGGGGCTGGGGCTCACTGGTTAATGAAATGGCCCAGATTTTGAAGGGCCCATGATTTCGTACGGTTTGAGGTGACCCTATCAGGTGAGTCACACACTAAACTCTCTTCCAGCTGTCTGTGAGATGTGTGGTATCGTGGGCACGAGGGAAGCCTTCTTCTCCAAGACCAAGAGGTTCTGCAGCGTCTCCTGTTCCCGGAGCTACTCCTCCAACTCCAAGAAAGCCAGCATCCTGGCTAGATTACAGGTGAGAGGCAGCCACTTGGAGCTTCCACAGCCCTGGGTGCGGAGACAGGAGCCACCCAGGGCTTGCTGGGTTTGTGGCCGTCTGAGGTTGTGCATCTCCTGGTAATTAGTGTGCTCTCCAACTTTATGGCACAAGAAACCCTGGGATCCCCCCTTACTCCCACCCTCATCCCCCACAATGTCTTTAGGTGTTAAACAGTAGGACCTACCTCAGGGGAGTCTTATGCCTTGGTCTTCGCTACACCTTTATAACAGCCTTGAAAGGAAGCTGGGAACTAGGCAGGATCAGGGCCCTGGTGGCCGTACGAAGCCAGGGCCTCGTCTCTGACTGCACCTCACAGGCAGCCCCCTAGATAACCTTGCCTAACATACACGCGTAGAGCTTTGGGAAATGAAGACATGATTCCCAGCCATGTGCCCCTGAGCCTGTGAGTTTAGGAAGTGTGCTGAGGTTGTGTGGAGTTGGAATGACATCCAGCCTAGCTCAGTAGGAAGAGTGGATGGAGCCTTGGCTAGAGCCGTGGGCCCCACCTTCTCTGCCTGCATGTTAGGGTCACCTGGCAAAAGTTAAACACCGCTGCTTGCGTCCTCCTGACCCCAAACCTTCTAATGGGATTGGAATGGAGCATAGCCTGGATGTGGGGAGTTTAAAGTGCTCCCACACTGGTTCTAACGTGCAGCAAATTCTGAGAACACCGCTGTGACACTGACACAGTTTCTGTGCATCAGATCTTTCTGCTTAGGGCTCTACACCTTCATGTTGACATTGTGAGACAGTTGCCATTGCTCCCCTCTCTTTATGGATTTCAGTCAAGAAACATCTCTCTTCAGGGACCTAATGATGTTTGGGGTATATGCTTAGGGCTTTACATTCTTCACACACTGATAGCATAAGAATGGATTTAAGGCCGGGCGTGGTGGTGCACGCCTGTAATCCCAGCGCTTGGGAGGCTGAGGCAGGAGGGTTGCTGTGAGTTCGAGACCAGCCTGGGCTACAAAATGAGTTCCAAGTCATTCTCCAGTGAGGCCCTGTCTCAAAAAAACAAAAACAAACAAACAAAAAAGAATGGATTTAAGGAGCTGGCGGTGTACACCTATGATCTCAGAACTCTTAGAGGCTGATGCAAAAGGATCACAAGCTTGAGCTCAGCCTGGGCAATTTAGCAAGACCATGTCTCAAAATTTAAAGGCAAGCCAGGCGTGCTGGCACATGCCTGTAATTCCAGCACTCAGGAGGCTGAGGCAGGCGGATTGCCAAGAGTTCGAGGCCAGCCTGAACTATATAGTGAGCACCTGTCTCAACCTGCCCCCAAATTTAAAAGCAGATGGTCCAGGCATAGTGTCACACACCTGAAATTTCAGTACTTGAGAGGCTGAGGCAGGAGGATTGCAGTGAGTTCAAGGCCAGTCTGGACTACAAAGTAAGACCCTGTCTCAAACAAAAGCAAAACAAAACGGGTTGCTGGGGCTGTAGCTCAGTGTGAAAGCTCTAGGTTCAATCCCCAATTTAGAAAAAGAAAGGATTTAAAGTATATAGCTCAGAGGTAGAACATTCGCCTAGCATGAGCAAAGCTCTGCATCCCCAGTACCACCACCACCACCAAAAGAATTTTTAAATGTTCCTATTTTATTTTATCTATTTACTTAGTTGTTTGTTTGGTACTGGGGATTGAACTCGGGTCCTTGCGCTTGCGAGGCAGGTGGCAGCACCACTGAGCTAAATCCCTGGCCCTAAATGTTCCTATTTTAGAGCCAGGCAGCAAACATCTGTAATCTTAGCACTCAGGAAGCTGAGGCAGGAGGAACACAGTGAGCTTGAGGCCAGCCTTGGCTACATAGACCCTGTCTCAAACAGACAAGAAAATTTTTTTAATATTTTGAAAGCTCAAAAATGTAAATTTTAGCTGGGCGTGGTGGCACATGCCTGTAATCCCAGCACTCAGGAGGCTGAGGCAGGAGGATCGCTCTGAGTTCGAGACCAGCCTGGGCTACATAGTGAGTTCCAGGTCAGACACAACTACATAGTGAGATCCTGTCTCCAAAAAAGTAAATTTTAGTGACTTAGTTATAGAATTAAAAATTGTGATTAGATCTGTCTGGGATTTAAACCCACACTTCTGTTTCACTGATCTCTTTAAATTCTTGGCCTTTCTCATCAGTGCTTAAGTTACAAAGTCCAGACCCTATCAGAACCCGTCCCTTAAAGGACATTCTCTTTAAGGCCCTGGTGGTGACCATGGACATCTCTCAAGAACATTCACAAATGTGGCCTCTGAGGTCAGAGAATTTCTGGCCCTTCTGTTGTGCTGTGGTCTGCAGAAGCCAGGAGGGTGGAGACAGAAGGGAGAGAGAGTCTCCAGGAAACAGAAGCCCGAGCGATGCTGCCTGTCCCTCTTTGCTCTGTGGCTGTCACTGCCCCGTCACTGCCCCATCCCTCCTCACAGCCAGCCTCTGAGCTAAGGTGTCAGGGTCATCATCCAGTCTCACAGAAGAAACAGCCCCAGAGAGGCCGAGGAACTTGTCCAAAGGCAGGGCCTGAACCCAGCGGCCTAGATCCAGCCAGCAGACCACACTCTGATCTCTCTCCAGGGAAAACCGCCCACCAAGAAAGCCAAAGTCCTGCACAAGGCGGCCTGGTCTGCTAAAATTGGAGCCTTCCTCCACTCCCAAGGGACAGGACAGCTGGCAGATGGGACACCAACAGGACAAGATGGTGAGACATCGGAGGCCTGGGTGGGGTCAGGTGGGGTGACCTTCCCTACGAGGACTGAAACGGCGCCCTGCTAAATGGTGCCCCGCAGGGCTCTCTGGGGCTTGAATCCCGCCTGTCAGCCTTAAGTTGCCAGGACCTGTTTTGGGGCATCCAGAAGCCAAGAGTTAGCCTCCTTCATTTCTCTTTGCTTTATCCCAGTGGCCTCTGTCCCCTAGGCCTGGTTTGAAGTGGCTGTGGGGCAGCTGAGAGGGTAACGAAAGGGACCTTTTGCCCCTGAATGTAGGTCCAGCGATGCCCTGTGGCAGTTGGCCTGAGCTGACTGAAATTGCTCTGGGGGCGTGGGGTGCAGGGGCCTAGGTGTGCGCCCCTCCCACCTCATGGGGTGTGGTCGGGCTGGGAGGGGAGGCTGAGGGATGTAAGGAGGGATGCTGAGTTTCACTTTCTGTGGGAGAATAAAAGGGAGGCACTTCCTGAAGGTTCTTCTACACCTGAGGGTCTGGCACCCTTTGGGTTCAGTCCTAACCATCCCGATGGCCACTGAGAGGCGCCCTGGAGCAGTGTCAGAGAGGGACGGCGGGGCCAGGGAAAGGGTGCCAACTCTGCACCCCACAGGCTCCTTAGTGCAGCTTCTCGTGGGGCTGCTGCACAGACCCCCAGCGTGGACTCTTGCTCTTTCTGCTCTGCAGCTCTGGTCCTGGGTTTTGACTGGGGGAAATTCCTGAAGGATCACAGCTACAAAGCTGCACCCGTCAGCTGCTTTAAACACGTGAGTGGCTGGCAGGGAGAGGGGACGGACATCCAGGGTCAGGGACGGCTCGCTGGGGTCTGCTGTGTCTCGTGCTGCTGCCTACGGGCTGGGCTGTCACTGTGAGAGAGGGGCGCCCTCCCTCCCCTGCGTCCACTTCCTGCAGAGCCTCCCGAAAGCAGCTGTGGAGAGCACAGCACCGAGAGCCCCTCCTCCGCTGCTTACGTAATGGATCTGTACTGCTTGATATCTGAGGACCTCTCCACCCCTTCTCTGTCTCCGTCTTTTTCTCTCCCTCTCCCTTCTGCCCTCCTCGGGTTTTGGGCCTTCCCAACTCCGCAACCCTCTCCCTTTCTCCCACTCACAATACTTCTCGCACAGAGCAAGGTGCCTCTGTATTGGCCTGAGTCTCTTGGTCCCCAGGTGGAGGGTGGGGATGGCTCCTCTAGCCACCCTCTGCAGGAGGCTCCCTGCTGCCTAGCACTGAGAAGTCAGAAGGGTGAGGCCCTGGTGAGATGGATTCGAGGTCAAGCATGTAACATTGGCCAGGTGCAGGGGTATACACCTATAATCCCAGCACTCAGGAGGCTGAGTCAGGAGGATCACAAGTGTGAGCCCAACTTTGACAGTTTAGCAATTTGGTGAGACCCTGTCTGTGACCACTGATCCCATAGATTAGGAACCGCCCAGCAGATTAGTAAAGCACACTGCTAGTGTGTCTGAGTGGGTCCTAGAGGCGAGGCTTTGGATGCTACAAATGGTTCCTCTCTCATTCCCCACCGGCTCTCTTCCACTCTGAGCTTCCTGGGTGCCATAAATGAAGCAGCTTTGTTTCTGCCCAGGCCCTTCTGCCGATCACACCTCTCCTTTCAGGTGTAGGTGTGGAGTATTGTGTCTCAGCAGGGAGAAACAAGGGCGTCATCACACTTGCCATCCAGGTGGTGTGACGGTGAAACGTGATAGTCCTTGTACCCAGAAAATGACTGGCACACAGGGGCCACTAGGAAGTAGGGGGCCGCTGGTCCTGTAACGATCGGAATTCTGCTCTGTAACTCTGGGCCTTCACCTGCCGCCTCGCCTGTCCCTGTCCCCTGTGCCCAGCTCTTCAGTGACCATGGCCATTTCTTCGTGCCTGGTACAGGCCTGGCTTTCTGTGTGCACTGGATGATGCAGGGAGTTGAGGTGCAAGAGGCCTGAGACACCACTCTCCCTGCCAGCCGGCAGCTCATGTCCCTGAACGTGCTTGTCACCACACAGGTCCCACTGTATGACCAGTGGGAAGATGTCATGAAGGGGATGAAGGTGGAGGTGCTCAACAGTGATGCCGTGCTCCCCAGCCGGGTGTACTGGATCGCCTCTGTCATCCAGGTGGCCGGTGAGTGTCCCTTCCGCCAGTGCCGGACTGGGACGTGTGTGCAGTGACATCTGTTGCAGGTGGGCAGTGTCGTCGTCAGACACTGGCTTCATAAATCAAACAAAACCTCACCCACCGCCCTACCTTCAAAGGGACCGTGGAGCTGAGTGGGCTGGGATATGCTAGCTTCTTGGGTTTGTTCCAGAGATGATCGGGCATGGGAATTAACACCCCATGCCATAATGCCTGCCAGGTAAGTGGCATGGATTTGTTTTTTGTTTTATTTTTGTTTGTTTGCAGTACTGGCACGGATTTGTTCTGTTGGAGACAACAGGGACTCCACTTGCTCGGAGGAGTTCCTGGAACGGAGGCAATCCCCTCTCCAGCCTGTCCTCCCTCATGGTGCCCTGGGCCTTCCTTTCAGGGTATCGGGTGCTGCTCCGGTATGAAGGCTTTGAAAACGATGCCAGCCACGACTTCTGGTGCAACCTGGGCACCGTGGATGTCCACCCTATCGGCTGGTGTGCCATCAACAGCAAGATCCTGGTGCCCCCTCGGAGTGAGTGGGCGAGAGCATTCCCAGTCCCTTGGGGCCCTTGGCAGGGGGATCCCTGGGCTGGGGTTGGACACAGCCAGCCCTGCCGGCCCCCTTGCTTCCTCCCTTCTCCATGCCAGCCCCTGGGCAGATCCAGGTTGTGGGACCTGCTTTTGTGAGAGGAGGTGGTTGCTGCCTTAAAGTGGCAGAGAGAAATTATCATCTCTTTGCCGATCTCGGGTGACCGAGGGTATCGTAAGATTGACAGGATTCTGCTGATGTCCCACAGCCATCCACGCCAAGTTCACCGACTGGAAGGGTTACCTCATGAAGCGGCTGGTGGGCTCCCGGACTCTGCCTGTGGATTTCCACATTAAGGTCTGGTGGGAGCTCTTTGGGGAGCTCTAATTTTTTATTTTTTCAAAGTGCCAGGGATCAAACTAGGGTCTCACACATGCAGAGGCCATGCTGCTGAGCCCCTTACTGATACGTGGCCACTCGTTGCAGTGTTTTTTCTAAGACCCCTTTGCTTTGATGGTCATCAGTGGCTCTGCAAGTCCGAACAGAGTCTCCCCAGGCCTGGCCCAGCTGTGTCCATCGTGCTGTTCTGTCAGACTTCTCTGCAAGATTCTTACCTTTGCTTGTAGCATTTTTCTGGAGTGTGCACTCGATAGATTTTATCATGTACAGTGCTTATAGACGAGGCACTATGGAAATACAACCAACGCAGACCTTGCCATCCAGGAGTCTCCAGAGAAGATGCAGAGGCAGAGGAAACAAAATATCATTCACACAATTAATTGCAAAATAGCTGCTATTCTGAACTAGGAATGTGCCTCAAAAATGATTTCTGTGACATTTGATTTTTATTTTATTATTATTATTATTATATATTTCTTTTTTGGTACCAGGAATCATACTCGGGTCCTTGTGCTTGTGAAGCAGGTGCCAGAACCACTGAGCTAAATTCCCGGCCAATTTTAATTTTTAAAAACTACTAGTTGGGGCTGGGGATTTAGCTCATTTGTGCCATGCCACTGCCTACCTCATACACACAAAAAAAACTCATCAAAAAATAAAAGCTACTAGTTGGTGGCACACACCTGTAATCTCAGCTGCTCAGGAGGTTGAAGCAGGAGGATCACAAATTCAAGGCCAGACTCAGCAAATTAGTGAGACCCAGTCTCAAAGTAAAAAGGGCTGGTGCTGTAGTTCAGCAATACTGACCCTGCCATTCAATTCCCAGTATCATGAAGAAAAAAGTTATTTTATTTAAAAAGTCACATAGTGTGAAATAGGAAGAAAATGGCTAACGGGGAAGTGGGAAGAGGAGGGGAAAGGAAATAGGGGAAAAGAAAAAACGTGAAAAAAAGGAAAAAATGGAAACAAACTCTTTGTAGATAGGGAAAGGTGAAGGGGGAGGGCAGGGTATAGGGAAAAAACAAGAACCAAGACCTGTCATGTAAAGGTACAAGATTCCAGGCCCGGGATTTAGCTCAGTGGTTCTGCTGCCTGCCTTGCAAGCACAAGGACTCGAGTTTGATCCCCGGAACCAAAAAACAAAAGCAAAAGGTACAAGATCCCAATGATAAATGTAACTATATTGTTTGCTTTAAATGTACCAATAAACTTAATGGGGAAAATAAAAAAATCACATGATGACCAATCAAAGGGATCAGGCTTGCAGCAGAGACTCTCCTGCCTCTGCTGGGCTCCGGCTGTGAGCCCTCTCCTGAGCTGCATATGAGGTCTCAGCCAAAGGCTGGAGGCAGTGCCCCAGGTGGCCCTGTAGCCCTGGCAGGGTGCAGGAAATTCAGGGCATGTACAAGCAGGACACATGATGGCACTGGCCTTATGGTCACAGAGGAGGAGCAGATACCAAGTAGGCTTCATGAAATTTGGATTTTGGATTTTACCTTCATGAGCAAGGCCAGAGTGGCTGGGAGGCCAGGAGGAAACAAAGACGGGATGGGCCTGAGTCTGTGGAGATCCGCAGTCAGCCTGTCACATTGAGGGCTCTGTGGCCTTGGAGAGCGCCCCCTCCTGGCATGTGTGGAAATAGCACTCCTCCGTCATCAGGGCGGATCTCTGAACTTGCTGTGCCCTGGAGCTGGGGAAAGCCCTACCCAGGCACAAGGACACCAAGGCCACTGTGCACTGGGAGTCTGCTGCCCACTTGTGTCTCAGCACCATGGCCCATGGGGTCTTGGGCACTGTCCCCTGTCAGGTCAGAAGGCACAGATTGCTGCTGCAGTGCTCTGAAAGCATTTCTAAGCCACATCCCATCAGAACTACTGGGATTGGACCTGTGGAGACAAAAGCCCTGCACTGCCATCAGCTGAGGGCCAGAGGTGCAGGGGACTGAGGAGGTGCCCAGGCTCAGAGGGCAGCACCTAAGCAGGACACCAGATTCTGGGTCCAGTGGTCTGTGTGACTCTGGGGACATCACTTGGCCTGTCTGGTCACTCAAGTTTCCTTAGTCTGAAGCAGGTTTTGGGTCACCGTGAGTCCCAGCTTTTGGTAACAAGGTGCTGTGTACCCTGCTGGGCCGGTGAACCTGCAGGCCATGGGGCTCCCTGCCACATCCTAACATCTGCCACACCCTCCCTGTCCTCCACTGAGCCCAGACAGAGCAGGACGGTGGAGCGAGAAGCCTGGGGCCCACAGCGGCCTGTGTTCTGATGCTGTTGCAGATGGTGGAGAGCATGAAGTACCCCTTTCGACAAGGCATGCGCCTGGAAGTCGTGGACAAGTCCCAGGTGTCACGGACCCGCATGGCTGTGGTGGACACAGTGATCGGGGGTCGCCTGCGGCTCCTCTATGAGGACGGTGACAGTGATGATGATTTCTGGTGTCACATGTGGAGCCCCCTGATCCACCCCGTGGGTTGGTCACGGCGCGTCGGTCATGGCGTCAAGATGTCAGGTCAGCAGCGCCTCAGGCCCCAAATCCCCAGGAATGGCAGGGAGGGGGGACTGGGACTGAGGCCCAGAGGGGCTGAGTCCCCTGACTGTGGTCACTCAGCCCAGCTGCCGTGTGGTAAAATTGACTTGACCCTGCCGCTCTGGCCTGGGTGTCATGCGGGAGGGCTTGGGTCTGAGGCTGAGTGGCCCCTCCCTGCTGGGGGAGCTGCCTTTCCGGGGAGGCACCGGGGGTCCCTTAGCTGCCCTCACCTTCCTTTTCTTCCTCACACCCTCTGTTCCTCAAAGAGAGGCGAAGCGACATGGCCCATCACCCCACCTTCCGGAAGATCTATTGTGACGCCGTCCCTTATCTGTTCAAGAAGGTGAGGCGAGGCCCACGCGTGCTCTTCCCGGGGCTGTGGCCCTGGCCCAGTCTGAGTCCAGCAGCCCGGCATCCCGAGGGACTGTCCCTCCCTCCCCAGGCCCGTGGGCGTGCCTGGCATTCACCAGCTGCCCCGTTCCTGTAAGGTACGAGCTGTCTACACAGAAGGTGGCTGGTTTGAAGAAGGCATGAAGCTGGAGGCCATCGATCCCCTGAACCTGGGTAACATCTGCGTGGCGACCATCTGCAAGGTGAGCCAGACCCCACCTCCAGCATGGCTTTCTGGGGCTCTGAGCTGCAGGCCACTCGGGCTGCTTGTGGGGAAGGCAGAGCTCTGCACGTGTGGGTTCCACAGCTGATGACGCAGCACCTGCCTGTGCCCCACACTCCTAGGTCCTCCTGGACGGCTACCTGATGATCTGTGTGGATGGGGGACCCTCCACCGACGGCTCCGACTGGTTCTGCTACCACGCCTCCTCCCACGCCATCTTCCCAGCCACCTTCTGCCAGAAGAATGACATCGAGCTCACGCCTCCTAAAGGTGAGCCTGGAGCAGCACTGTGCACTGGCCTTGCAGGGCCAGGCCACGGACCCAGAGTGCTGCTTGAGTAGACCCCTGGGCCACAGAGTTCTCAAGGTGTGGAAGAAGTGACAGCCACCACTAGTCCTTACAGCATAGGTGCTAGGTGCTTGGTGAACAGAGCTTCTGCTTAAGGCTTTGAGCAGTCAAAAGCCTGTGCAACAGGACTATAGTCCTAGAACGGGTGCCAGCCTGGGGAGAAGGGAGGAAAGTGGCTTCCATGGAGACTCCAGGCTGGGTCCTGACCAAGCTTCAGTGGCCCGTGGGCAGTGTGCTGCTTTCACCCGATCTGCTTCCTGCTTCCTGCATCCCCTTCTGTCCTGCATCAAAATTCCCTGCTCCTGCAGGATGTGAGACCCAGACTTTTGACTGGGAGACCTATCTGGAGAAGACCAGCTCCAGAGCAGCTCCGTCGAGACTCTTCAACATGGTGAGAGGCTGGATGCAGCAGGGGTCTGCGGTGCTGTGGGGTGGAGGTTCCAGCCCCTTCTCCCCCGGGGGCTGCCGGGATGTCCACTCCTGAACGCCCCACGCTGCACCGGGCACGCTGCCACCCTCGGCGCCCGCCTCTCGCCCTCCCCACCAGGACTGCCCCAACCATGGCTTCAAGGTGGGCATGAAGCTGGAGGCGGTGGACCTGATGGAGCCCCGGCTCATCTGCGTGGCCACAGTAAAGCGGGTGGTGCACCGGCTGCTCCGCATCCACTTCGACGGCTGGGACAGCGAGTACGACCAGTGGGTGGACTGCGAGTCCCCGGACATCTACCCTGTGGGCTGGTGCGAGCTCACCGGCTACCAGCTCCAGCCACCCGTGGCCACAGGTTGGGCCTGCAGCCCTCTTCGCCCGCCTGGTGCCCTTGTGGGCTGGTGCGAGCTCACCGGCTACCAGCTCCAGCCACCCGTGGCCACAGGTTGGGCCTGCAGCCCTCTTCGCCCGTCACTGGTGCCCCTCCCGTGCCTGGCCCCGCTCCTCAGCGTGTACGCCCTGCCCGGGCCTCTCCTTCCCTCCTGCCCACTGACGAACCAGCCAGTCCTCTACCAGGCCCGGCAGCCCCACCCTCCTTGCCCACTCCGCCTTCTTCCCTTGAGCTGACCGAGCAAGGGGCAGGGGTCTTGGGGTGCCCTGTGTCCTCCCAGAGCACCTTCTCATCTCTCCTCCCCTTATCTTTCAACCACAGAACCGGCCACACCTCTGAAGGCCAAGGAGGCCACAAAGAAGAAAAAGAAACAATTTGGGAAGAAAAGTAAGTTGTTCCCTAGGGCAGCCAAGCACCGGTGTCCGGGAGCTGCCACTTCCGGGTGGCTTTCTGCGTTGGCGTCCTCCGGCCCACCCTCCTCCCCTCTGCCTTGCCCTGGCCCCTGCCCCACGGGCCTCTGGGGACCCGGAATCATAGGTAGTTGAGTCTCCCTGGAGATGCCCACGTGGTGAGGATTTGGAAAGCAGCACAGCCCCTGGGCACCTGCAGCTGCTGCTCTAAGGGTGAGGCCCAAAAGAGACAGAGGGGCTTCCTGGGCCTCCGCTCTCCCAAGGGTGGCAGCACCGGGAGGCGGACAGGCCCTGCCCAGCATGAGAGCGGCGAGGGAGTCGGCAAAGCTGACCCAGAGCTACAGCATGGCACTGCTCCCGGAGAGCTTGTCTGGACACAGGACTGAGCCGGACGGTCCCATCACCGGGCAGGGACAGGGTAGTCTGAGGGTGTGGAAGAGCCAGGACGCCCTGCAGAACAGGATGCCCGGGACGCGTGTGTTACAGTGCAGGAGTCCCTACCCGCGGGGTACAGAGAGCCCCAGTGCGGGGCTCGGGGCGTATAACCGTGTCATCTGTCCCCATTGTCACCTTGGCCCTCTGCCCTGCTTCCTCACTTCCTGATCACCCCGGCCCGCAGGCCTCACACAGGACGGACTCCAGTGCTGGGTTTGACTCCATTTTTATTCCAAGGGAAAAGAATCCCCCCAGCCAAGCCCCGGGCCCTCAGACAGGGCTCCAAGAAGCCCCTGCTGGAGCACGAGCTGCAGGCTGCGGGGAAGGTTGCGTCGCAGCCCGGGCCTGACGAGAGTAAGAGCCGTCGGGGGTCGAGGCAGGGCCGGCCTGCGCTGCACCCCGAGGTGACCCCTCCGTCCCGACCTGGACACAGAAGAGAGAGCCGAGGTGAGGGGGGATTTGCTGGGCCCTGAGCCATCCTCAACAACTGGTCCTCTGAGCCTCCCCTGGGCCCACGCCAGCACCCTGCCGGGGGCCCAGCCACCGCTGCTACTGCTCCTTCACTGGCCGCATGTGCTGGGGGTGGGGGACAGAGGCAGGTGCCAGCTTCTCTGTATGGCCCACCTGGCTGCCTGGCTGCACTTGGGCCCTGGACTTCCTCTTTGGGAGGGGTGGTCCCCAGCCGCCTGCCCCTGCCTCTCCTGGTGGCCTGGCTGTGCGCACTCACTTCACTGTCCCCCTAGTCATTGCCATGTGTGTAAAGGAGGAGCACCTGGACACAGCCTCGCCTGATGAGATGCCCAGTCCGGAGCTGCCTGTGCCCGTGGAGAGTATCAAGCAGGAGATGGATGGCTGAGCTGCCCTGGCGCCCGGAGATCAGAGGGTCCGCCCGCCCTCCCTGGAGCCGGAGACTGAGCCTTTCATGTCAAATCAACGCTTGTCTGCACCTGGGGCCTGCATTCGGAGGGACCGGCCTGGGCTCCATGGACCCCTCCTGGCCAGGTCTCTGACCCAGGCTGCCAGAGGACCCCGTGCTGTCTCTGTGACAGCCTCTGCACCCCACATTTTCCAAGCATAGCCTTGAGCTGCCTCCCCAGCTTTTTTTTTTTTTAAAGACAGGATCTCAGTAAGTTACTAAGTTTCCCAGCCTGGGCTCAGACTTGTAATCCTCCTGCCTCAGCCTCCTGGAGAGCTAGGATCATATGTGTATGCCACTGTGTACCTAGCTCTGTGCTTACGCAGCCTCCTCCTGCCCTCAGCACACCCTCAATTCCAGACCTCACCTGGGAGACAACTCGACCCACCTGTGATCAGTTGTCCCTGCATGATGGGAGTAAAGCAGTGAGGGGCACTGAGCGGAGGCTCCTGGCTGCCATGTATAGCCGGGCAGGAGCAGCCTCCACCCCGGGGGAGCCACACAGAAGCCTTGCTCACCTCCTGGGGAGTCACCTCCTGGGGAGGCACAGTGGCCCTCCTGGCACGCTGGGGACCCACTGTGGCAGGCAGCTGAGAAGCACTGACCAGGACAGTGGGGTTTTGTGGCGGTCCAGCCGTCACAACACGAATGTGCCTGAGAGGTTGTTCAGCTCGCTCCTGCTGTTCTTCGCCTCATTCAGTAACTGATCCCTCTCCTGTTTGATGTCCCTCACCGCCCGGAGCCGCTCAGAGCCTGCATTTACCAGCTTCACCTTTTCCAACTCCAGGTCACTCACTCTAGCCTCAAGCTCCCGAATCTTGGCATCTTTCTTATCTTTTAAAATCTTAAATTCCTGCAGCTCCAGTCTCCTGTCATTGATCTCTTTCTCCAGCTGGGCCTTTTCTACCTGCATGGCCCCCGCGGTGCGTCCGTGCTGGCCCACCAGCTGCGTCATGTTTTCAGTCACTTTGTCCTCTGCCATCTGCAGCCGCAGGGCCTCGCACTCAGACTGCGCATGCCGCAGGTGCTCTCCCTCAGTCTTCAGGTGCCGCAGCTCCTGCAGCTTCAGGTCCACGCGGGAGTGCAGCTTGGTGATCTCCGCGTTGGTAGCCTCAATGGCGCGCTCTTTCTCCTGCAGGGAAGCTGTCAGGTCTGACACTGTCCTCTCCGAGCTCTCCAGGGTCATCTTCTTGGCCGTCAGCTCCTCCACCACTTTGCGCAACATCTCCTTGGTGGACTCGAGCTGCGCAGTCAGGGAAGACACTTTCTCCAGACTCTCGTTCTTCCCCTGGATCGCTGCCATCTGCCGCTCCATCTGGCCCCGGCACTCGCTCTTCATGGCCTTGAGCAGGGCCTCCAGGCGCTGCACCTCCATGTTCGGTCGTCCAGCTCCTGCCGAAGGTGGTCGATGGTGATGCTGTTGCCCGTGTCTCGGTCCCACAGCCTCTTGTTCTGCTCCTTCTCCAGACTCAACTCCTTTTCCCTCTTGTGTAGATTTGCCAATAGCTTTTGGAGCTGATCGTATTAAATTTTCACATAAAAAGAAAAAAGTACACAGGGCACTAATTATAAGTAACATCACAATGGATGGGACATCATCCCTCTGTAAAGACAGGCAAGTAAGGTGTCACTTTAGCAACATTTTTTCCTGGTCCTTCACCTTCTGTGTCCTCTTTTCTTGATTTTTGATCATTGAAGACATTGCTTGGTTCTTCAGCTGCAAATCTTCTACCAGGGTTTGCAAGCTTTCCAGTCTATTCTGAAGTTTCCTGCATGTTTTCCCTGTTGTTTCTACTGGTGGAGACTGTGAATCTTTAGCAGAATCAGGTGAGGGAACAGTTTTGGTGGATCTGTACTGTGGCGAGGAACCTACTGAATCTTCAGCTGAACTCGTGAGCAGCGAGTGCATTGGATACTTCTTAGGGGAAGTGAATGATCGGGAAGCTGAGTTTTTCACAGATGGGCTCGCTGTAGACAGGAACGTGAAACAACTTGATGGATCTTCCAGTTCTGCATGTAACAGGACTGGCTCCCTGCTGAGAGTTCCACTGGACTTGCTCCCTTCCATGGAGTCCCTTAATGAGTTGTTGCTTCTATGGCATATGTCTGATCTCAGGCTTGATTCGATGATGCAGTCTCTTACCCTATCATCCAAGGCCCCAAGCGACGGTGCTCTCCCCTCATCCTCTGCCTTGCTCAGCTGCACAGCTGGCTCCTCATTGATCACGCTTCTCAGCTCCTGAAGAAGCTGTTTCAGATCCTTTGTGGGGTCTTCCTTTAGTGTGGTGGTCTTCCCAGAGTGATGTGAAAGGAAGCTGGCTGTAGACTGGGAAGATGGTACATTAGAGTGGACACGGGTAACAGAGGCTGTGCTGAAGTTTTAGGCATACAGATTCCTGCTCCTGATGCTGTATTATATCTTGACATTCTGCAAACTGCAAAGATGCCTTATCAAGAGCAACTTCCATATTAGCAACCTTTTCTTTCAAGCGGCGTTCTTGAGACCGCAGAACTTCCAGCTCCCCAGCCATCTTATTTTTTTCTGTCGCAACAGTGCTCAGCTCCTGACTGAGTTTATTCTTCTCTTCTTTTAAAAAATGTTTCTCCTTATTTGCATTTGTCATGGCCTCTTCCAAAAACTGGATCTTGCTTTGAAGGGCATCTATCTGACCTCTTTTGGCTGTGATTTGCTTTTGCATACCCATTGCCACTTTCATAGCATGACCATCAGACCCTTCCATTGACTTTAGGGTATTCCTTGTTTGCTCTAGTTCAGACTGTGCAGATTTTAATTGCATTTTCAGTTTATTTGTAGCGGTTTCCATTTCTTCACTCTTGTTTCGAAAATTCCTTTTTAAGACTTGATAGTCCTCGCTCCTCTTTTTGCCTTCCTTTTGAAGGTCCTCTTTTTTCTTTTTGTCGAGATCTTTTTATTCTTTA